TCAGGCCGTGTGCGCAGTTTTAGATCCTGAGGCTGACTGGTAAAAATATCTGAATACGCCCTGTACTCCGGAATCCATTCATTTGAAATAAAAAGAAAATAGCTAAACTCATCCGGAGGTCTGGTAGACAAGCAAATAATGACAGCCAAAATTCAGCATTAGTAAGGAACAGAGCATCTCTCCTTGGACACAAATCTATGAAATAAGAGTCTGAAGGGAAAACCTGAATGTTCACACTCCACTTATACCCACATTTGGGCTGCAGATAGCACTGCCCTATTTTGTCAAATCCTGAGGCATGGGGAACTTGAGCATTAAAAAAAACCAAAAGCAAAAGCGAAAAAGAACAGTCTCGTTTAGACCCCTTGCAGAGCACAGAGAACTATAAAAGGAACTGAACAGATTCTGGGAGAGAGCATTCTAAGAAACTCACTTGAGAGGCCAAAAACAGCAATTAAAAAAAACCAGACAGTTTCCTGTCGGTTGTGTCTCTGGACCTGGCGAAAAGCACCAGGAGGCCAGCACAAGTGTTTGGAGGCGAGGCTGGGAGGCAGGGGAGGCAGGCAGCAAGGGGGCAAGCAATTTTGAGTGTCTGAAAAGGAACACCCCTGACGCCTTCTGAAACTGAACTCTGAACCGTGCAGAAGGCTGTGAGTGGCTGAGCCCAGCGCGCCGCCTCCCAGCAGCCAGAGAGCCGGGCCAGGCTCATCACAGAGCCAGGGGAGGCTTGCTGATTGGCCATCAGATGGTTCTGACCTAAACGACCCCGGCGGCCTGTCTATCCAGACAAACCCACTTTGTGGCTCGGTTACTGGGGGCTGAATGTTCACGACACACCCGTGGGCTTGCTGGAAGCTGCTGTCTCCCCCAGCGGTCTCTCCCGCTCCCGGGGGCCCCCAATCAGACAAAAAAAAAGTCTAAAGTCATTTGGAGATATTACTTTTTCAGATAAAATTCAGAAAACAGGGTTTTTGAGTGCTGGCTTTCTAGGCAGAATGGAGAAATATAGCCCAGGTTTTGCCTGCAGAGAGTCTAGTTTATTTAAACCATAAGGTACATGTTAAGTATTTTGTTTAAATATGCATAATAGATGTGAAAAGCCTTCCCACGCTGGGGGCTGGGCATCAAGGTGCAGGGAATTCATGTTCACGGAAAGTTAGTGTAAGTTTCTCCTACACACCGTGATACTCTAACAAGGACAACTAATGATACTATGGAAACTAAGAGCTGCCTCCTTGGACAAGGTCAAACCTTTGGACCCAGTGAAACTGGAGGCTCTGATCAAGTACCGTAACAGGTGACTGGACAGCTGGCTGGCTATGTTATCCGTCAACTTCTTCTGACAGCAGAAAGTGACATTCTTTCTCCCCCTCCAGAATCCCCCACCTTTAAAGGGGAAAAATCAAGTCTGGTCTTCCCAAGCCAATACCACCTTAATTACACAAAACAGCGAACGCCGCCAGTGTAACACGCAGCCATGCCCGTGGAAGCAGCGACCCCCCCCAGACGGGTTTCCTGCAGCCCCCATGGTTGGAGCAACACCAGGCCACAGAATCCAGCTAAACACTTCTCATGTGTTTTGCCCATATGAATAGTGTTTAGTAAACAGTGGCTGCTATCATCACTTTTAAACACCTAAATAGTACAATAGCTACATTTCCAATTTATTTTTACCAATACCCTAATCAATACCTGCTGTGGTCTGAGGACAGGGGAGGAGAAGGCTTATAAAGAGAGAGGGAGAATTGTGTGAGGCGATAGAATTGTTCCAGATCTTGGTTGTGGTGGTCGTTACGTGACCATGTGGGATGGTCAAACTGCATAGAAGTAGGCAGTAGCAAGAGTGAATTTTACTTTATGCAAATCATAGCATGCCTTTTGATGTGCCAGCCAAAATATTTAATTAGTTTTGATTAAAGTAAACCACCCAAACTAGTAGACATTTATACTTCATTTATTTCAAAACTTAAAAATCTAAGGCTTAATATGCCATTTCGTAATTTTAGACCAAACTCTAGAATTAAAGGATTGAGCTATTTGTTTAAAAAAAAAAATGCCATCTGAACAATTAACCAAATTAACTGTTTCAAAATCAAGCGTGGATTGTAGTAATGGTATGGTGAAATAAGGAAAGAGAAAATGAAAGTGATGTTTTTGTTTACTAGACTATTTAAGATGACAAATATAATGACTTCTTCCCTAAAAATCTAGCAATGGACCTTTGCAAAAAATCTTAAAAAAGTGTAATATTATTTCCAACCAGCTAAGGAACAGGAGAAAAGTCTGGTGATGAGTTCCATGATTTATTTTTCTTCACAAGGTACTTGAAAGGTCCTCCACCAGGCTGCTCACTCTGAATTTCCAACACTCTTATCATAAGCAAGGAGCTCTCAGTATGAATCTGTGCATCTATTTGGCAGAAAATGTAGTTTTGTAACAATTTGTTTCTCAACACCATATTTACAAAACAGATGGAGTTCCAAAGAAATAATTTTAAATAAGGAATACCATTCTGGTCAGCTTTCAGCGGATTTCTGCATATGTGAAGCACTCAGCAACAGTCCCCTCCTCTGCCCACTCTTTATCCCATTTCCGCTCTTATTCCTCTCTCTGATTTGGGGGTCCCCACCTAAGAGGAAGGTCAAGACTGTAAGGAACTAGATGGAAGCTAGGAAACAGGCATAGCCCAGCACTGCAACGAACGCACCCACCCACACGGCCTCCGCTGGGGAGTGAGCACCCACTCTCTCTGCCATTCTCTCAAGCCCCATCCTCACCAGGCACTAATCTGTCACCACCTCTCCATTCCATCACCTGCCTGCATCCATCCTGTTGTTCAAGAGAAACCAAGGAGAGATCACCACTGCTTCTTCACACGGGCTCCTGCTAAGCTGTTTATTACTTGTTTAACAAAAGTGAAATGTAATTCTGCCATTCGTCTGACAAAAATGTCTGGGCACTATCTGCTGCTTTGTGAAATTTGATATCAAAGTAAAAGATCTCTTTATTCTATTTGGCTGCCGTGTCTTTAGGAAAACACCACGCTAAATTTCTAAAAGCTGGATCCTTCAAGATGCCAACTGAAATGCAGTAGATACCGAGTAATTACCTATTTAAACATAGCATACCCCTGCCCTCCAATCCAGGCTTGAGCAACTTTCAACACTACTTCCACAGCCTTAAAGGGCATTAAGAAAATGCAAATTGAAAATAGAGGCAAGAAAAAGGAGTCATCTTGGAAGACAGAGGACAATAAATCGGATAAGACCGGTAAATTCCAACCAGCCGTTATAGAAATTAAAAGAACTTAAAGAAGACATATACTTTCTTACCATTTCTCCATTCACTCAGGAAGCAAAATACAGAAGCCCTAACTTCCTCACAATGTATGTCTAGGGATACACCTGAGAACAAGGGAACACCCGCCTTCATTAGAAAGAAGAAAAATGATGAAGACACCTGAGTAAGTTGCAAAACTCCATTGATTTCTGAGTCAGTTCCCCCTGTGCTTCTAGAATCTTCAATGAAGAAATGATACCTACCAACAAGTTCTCAATTCCACATATCAAATGCTGGCAAACCATCCTTCCTCATCTCCCGTGAATGTCAAATTAAAACAGATGCTGTTAAAATTAAATAAGTTACACTGTGAACCCCATTGCCAGACACCAATAAAATCTGAATTTTTTTTTTTTTTAAGTGCAAACACAGGCCCTCCAAAAAATTGAGGCCGAGGAGTTAAGATGAGCTTGCACCTTCTCTGGAATTTCCACCTCAGACTTCATTAACACCACAAAGCAAAATCACCACAAGTTATCTAGTAACCAATAAAAACAGATATGACATATAACTCTGTCAATGGGATTGATTGCCATGCAGGGCTGAGAGCAACTCCCATGGCAACAAGACTGACAGAGTAAAAGAAAACAGAAGTCATTAAGAGCTAGGTAGGTGTGCAGCAAAAATCTACTTTGCTTTCCTTAGTTCAACTCTAAACACCTCCTGCAGATGGTTCATGCCCTTGACCTTTAAGCCCTTCAACCGTGCCCTTTCTCAGAGGTAAACTGGACAAACAGATGACAAAGCGAAAATCAGTTTCACAACTGCCTGTTACATGGAGTTGCAAGGTGGTATATTTCAGCAGATAAGCACAGAAGCTGATAGCACCATCGGACACTTACACGCACCTCAGAAGGTTCCTGTAGGTCCAGTTAAATTTCAAATACCCCGAGTGTCAATTCTCTTCACTGGGGCCCGTCCTACCCTCCCTCCCACAGGAAGGGTGGGTGCAGCCCCATCACGGTGCTTTGGTGTTCACTGTCCCGGTGACCTCTCAGTTTTCAGAAAGCAACGTTTTCATATTTGCTCCAAACTTGAGTGGAAAGAGCTGGTCCTGCCTAAAGGCTCTGCTTTGATCAGCTCATTGATCATTTTCCCCCCACTCACTTCATGTCACGAGAAGTACATTTACATTGCAGAACAGAATGTAATGTTAGAATGAAACCACCACAAATTCAGGAGTTCCTAGTATGACTCCTGGAGTTTAAGAGGCACCAAACGCTGACTTCCTTCTGCTAAATAACACCAGGCAAAAAGATATCAAAAGCAAGCAAACCTCCCAAAGAACTTCCACAGAACCGGAGGCCTGCCTGCTGCAGCAACCAAAAGATTAAAACCCTGCAGAACTGTAATCTCTCAGAGCTTCTGACCCTAAGAAAGCTGAAAGGTGCCTGGACCTTCAGAAACCAACTCCATTTCTCGTGAGTTGACCAGGGATTTCTGCACCCTCTGAGTCTCACCGTTGGCGAGAGGCAACTTACAGACCCATGGGAAGAAAACCATACTGAATAATCTCTGTTCGCTGCCTGCGATTCTTAAGAAAATGTTTTCACATGATCAGTAACTGTCTTTAACATACAATGGAGACCCGGCAGGGGGTCTGTTCCACCAGCCGAGGCTACCGCTGGCAGAGGGTGCCCTGCCAGGCAGGTACCCGGCCATCACTGCAGGCGAGCCCTGCAGAGGTGACAGCCCCGAGTCCCGGGGGACGGAGCACGGCTCCCCTGCACCCCTCTCCATCCTCCCCAAACGCCATACGCACCGGTCCCCGCTCCGCCGCCCACAGCGCCGCCGGCGCAGCCCCGGTTCCCGCGAGCTGGGGGCTCCCCTCCAGGGCCCCCAGTTCTTCCGCCCGGGGAAGGACCCCCACCCCCGGATGGCGGGGGGCGGGCGACGCGCGCCCCTCTCCCACCTACCTTGATGATGCTGCTCCGGCGGGGCAGGCCGCCCGGCTTGCTGTCCCGGGGGAGCGGGCAGGCGGCCGGGCCGGGGGCCGCGGCGAGCGCGGGGCCGACCCGGGCTTCGCCCCCGGGCGCGCCGAGGCTGCAGTCTCCATTGGAGACCCCGGCGCTGTCACAGCGCGCCCGCCCGGGCCCGGGCCGCCCGCCGCCTCCGCCCTCCCCGGCCCCGGCCCGCAGGGCGCCCTTGGCCGCCAGGACCGGGCCCGGGGAGGAGGGCAGGGCCCCGCCGGCGGCCCCCCGGCCGCGCTCCGCCATGGGCGCCCCGCGACCCGCCAGCACAAAGCCGCGTCCCCGCGTCCCCGCGTCCCCGCCGCCCGGGCCGCGCGGCCCCTCCTCTGCCGCTCCGCCCGCCGCCGCCTCGGCCGCTTCTTCCGCTTTTTTTTTTTTTTTAATTTCGATGTGCTGTCGGCTTCGGGCTCGCCTCGCGCGCGGTCAGAGCCGCGGCGGCGGGACTATCGGAAGGTTCCTGCAGGGGGAGAAGAGAGACGCGGTCAGGCGGCCCGGGGCACTGGGACACGCCCGGCACACGCGCCGCGGGCAGCGCGCGGCCCGGGCCGACGGGGGAAGGGGTGCTGTCCGGGGACGGGGCGCCCACCGTGCGGGACCCACCCCGGGGAACGGGGCGCCCTCCAGGGAACCGGGCACCCACAGCGGATACGGGGCGCCCACCGAGGGGACGAGGCGCTCTCCTGGAGACGGGGCGCCCACCCGGGGACGGGGCGCCCACTGAGGGGGACACCGGGCACCCACCGCGCGGGACCCACCGTGCGGGACCCACCGCGGGGGACGGGGCGCCTTCCCGGGGGGACAAGGCGCCCCAAGCCAGAGCGGCACCCGGGACGGAAACACGCCCGGCACACGCGCCGCCGCGGGCGCCAATAACGCCGCGCGGCCCGGGGGGACGGGGCGCCCCCCTCGGGCTCGGGGCAGCACCGGGCGCCCCGAGGCGCCCTGGCCACGCGGAGGCGCCTCCCAAGGCCCTCGCGGCCCCGGGCGGGCGGGGGGTCTCCCCGGACCCCAACCCCTGGAGGCTGACGCGCGCCGAGTCCGCCGCGTACCCCGGGGTCAGCGCAGGGCGGGCAGGGCACCCGGGACCCGCCCACCCCGCCGCCTCCTCGGGGCTCAGCGCCGCCCCCTGTGGGCCGCGGGGACCCGACTCTCCCCGGACGCACCGCGGCCGCCCGGCTCCCGCTCCAGGTCGCCGCCGTCGCGGCCGCTCCCGCCGGGCCGGCTCATCGGGCCGTGGGGACCGCGCGCTGCCCAGCAGACGGCGACGGTGGGCGGCCGAGGGTCGACGGAGGCCCCTGGCCCCTCCGGAGCTCTGGCAACCGCCCGTCAGCCGCCGGCGCCCCGAGGGGCCGCGAGCGCGCAGGCCACGGGCCGGCTCAGCCCGGCACGCGAGACGAGGCCCCAGGGCCTTCTCCTCGGGGCTGCCCCGCCGGCCAGACCCGCTGCACGTGCAGAAACCGGCTCGGTTCTCTCGGGCTCCTGAACCCAGCATCTGTGAGCGGGACCAACCCGTGGCAAGGACGCTGGGGTCGGGGAGGGGACAGCGAGAGGCGAGAAGCTGGGGACGCGGGCAGAGCCCGACCCGGGCCCCCAGGGGTTCGTCACATCGTCCGCCCCCCAGCGCCCTCCCTGAGCCGGCCGCCAGGGATGCCCGCTGGTCCGCGCCCTGGGTCAGCCTCCGTTTTGGGAGAAGAACCCTACTTGGATGGCTAAGCAGGCCTCTCTGGTCCTTCCTTCTCCTCCCTCCCCCAGTATTTCAGGTCGAGTCAGCGGCGTGAACACCCCGAAGTTCTCTTTTTGTCGCCCCCCGCCAACACCCCCCCACCTGTGCTGTCCACCCTTGGAGCCAGACAGGGCCCACATCCCCAGCGCGGCGCCCCCCTCTCCACCCCAGTCGCCCTGCCCGCATCTTCCAGCCCTCTTCCCCGCGCCCCAGCGCTTCTCCAGCGCCTGTTTCCTTTTCCGGGAACGCGCTCCCCGCAGGGCGCGGAGGAGAAACTGCCGGTCCCTGGAGGCTGAACTTAAAGACCTTGCTTTCATTAGCATGATGTTGTAGCCAACTGCCAAGGCGCCTCTGAGGAGGAAACAGCTTTCCATACATACACACACCCTCTTTCCTGCCTCTGAAGCAACTTCAGATACCTTTCTGTTATTCTTGGGGGTGTTTTGATTGTTCTGATCTTCTGGATTCCTGTGTTCATAACCTATCAGACAGACTTTTATCCCTCTCTTGCAAATCTGGGCCTACATGGGAACATCTAGTATCACATCAATGGACAACAATGTTTGAATATTTTATTCAGTCCTATCCCTTTTCTTTCTTTCTTTCTGTCCTTTTTTCTAGTTTGGGTCCATTTTTTTTTTCTGCCTTGTGATACTTTTGCGGAAAAATATATTCAAATAATTCAAATCAGGTTCTGAAGCTGTCTTATCAAATGTGTAGTCATAATAGCCTGTGAGTATGCTGTGAGGAGGAAAGGAAGAATGCTAGGCCTTTATCCTTAAAGTTTTCTAATTTTGATATTTTGAGTAAACACCTGATGTTTCCAACCTTTTCCTGTATTTATCAATAACCAGTAACATACTATGAGAGTCATATCTTTGCAACTCACACTACGAGTTTCCTAGGGTGAGCGGGGACATATAGATTGAAATCTACAGGGTGCTCTTTCTAAAACCACCATCTGATTCTCCTGATGCTTCCAGAGTGAACACCTATCCATCTCACTCTGGACTCCCAACAGGTCAAACCAGGGAGACGTCACTGAAATAGACTTGGCATTTAAATTAAAACATTTCCCAAAGCATCTTGGCAGACCTGTACCGAATGATGCCAGAAGCCCAAGGCCTGTGCCAGGTTCCTTTTTATCCCCCTAAGTGCCGTCTTCCACAAGCCGTTGGTCACATGCCTGCAGGTGTTGGAAGTGTACATCTGCATCGCACGCACGGCCAGCCTGGAGGTACCATTCTTCCCGGGTGGCCATGGGAAGCAGCATGTTCCCAGCACACGGACAGTGCTCAGCCCCCAGCAGGCTTTTTAAATAGCTAAACTCTGATTTTTTTTTTTTCATCCCAAGGAGCACAGGAAGCAATTGTTCCTCCTCCTTTCTGCTTGTTTCTCCACAGTTACTAAGTGATTGCTTTCCACTTCTCCTGTTCCATGAGCAGTGCTATTGAAAAAAATTGTAAATATTTTGCCAAAATTCTTGCTGAAGTGTTTTTAATGGCATTGTAAAATTCATAGAAGTTCGAACTGGAAAAGGAGCCAAAATATCATAGTCATCTCTCAGCAAATACGTCTAATGGTCCCTTCCGATGACTTTTCAGAGTTGGGCAATAAGAGATAGGCAAGACATTAGTAATATTAGTAATTCTGAATATGGTGTTTATGCCAATTTGTTGTCTCTGTATACCAATGGTAAGATGCTGATGAATCGTTTGTTCATAATGTTTAAAGTAAATATATACCTCTAAAAATCTCATTTTTTTTTTTTGTCATGCCATCAATTTGTCTCTTCTAAGTTTTCTTCGGATTTCAATCTGCTTGGGCTTTTAATCATTGTTGTCACCCTTGATGGCGTGATTTTGTTTGTTTGCCTCTTAAATCCAATGCCTCAAACATGGGCACTGCAAGCTCCCTGGTCCGTAATAGCCTTCCTGCGGCCTCCCAAAATAACACTGACGCTGGTTACTGACTTCTTGCCGTCACTGATATCCTTGTAGGTTATGAATTTGTATCTAGTTTCCAGTTTGCAGCCTCTAACATTACGACTTTAAATTTTTCTGACTCACTGAACACTTGGCCTTCAGATTATTTTTTCCAATGTGTGATGATAATTTACATTTCTCAAACCTCTATCCGATTTTATTTCTGTATTTCTTTCAAGATGCAGTACAATTCTGAGCCTTCATATTTGACTGCTCCCCATATGTTTAATGTGAGCATTAACTACAGCAGAAAGTAGAAGACCAAAATGCTTTAAGGAAACACCAGGTTAAATCAATGTACTGGTCCACGCTGGCTACCTATTTGCTTCCTAAATTAATCCTAGATTTGAATCTATTATGGTCCTAAGGGTTGGGATTATGTGTATTTTTTCATGCTCCTCAGCAAGAAATATGTAGCAATTGCCTTTCTTCCTTGGCACCCATGAGGCCAGTTAGACCTGCCAACAACTTTCATTTTTGTATTCTTCCTCTCCTCTGACACTGAAGATCCTTCACCCATTTTTCTTGGATCCATCCTACACGTGTATACAGCTGCCAAGAAGTTAGGCACTCAGGGAATTACATCAACGATTTCCAGCCTCTGAGGAGCCACTGCGTGAATTCATTAAGTTGTTCTCAGTGGCTATTGAGTTAGGTAGCACTTTGAGGGAATCTATTAATTACTGGAGATTCAATAAGATTATTTTATTAGCAAAAGAAACCATATGATTTGCTCTAAAAGTTACTGTCACTTGTTGCACTGCTTTTGTAAACGTTCATGTGTGTGATTGTATTTCCGCTGTTATTTTATTACAGGAATCATTGCACGCTCAAGTGCTTGTAGGAGCTAGGTAGATAATATAACAAGTAAAGCTGGAAGGATTTGTTCCTAATAGCATCATAATTTATAGTTTTCAGCAGTGACATATTTACATGTCAAATACAGAAAAATCCTGACTCAGCTTTGGTTTTCCAGTTTTTAAAACTGCCTTGGAAAGTTTTAGGAAATATCTCACTTCCCTCCTAACTCTAGGAAAGATGGTGTGGATACCCAGGTGAGAGGCAGCATTATGGAGCCGTGGAGACTCAGATACCCTGGTGAGGACTCTCATTGCTACCAAGAGGAAATCATGACCCAGTGCCGCTCGGATCATCTAATCTTTTCAGAGAAACCAGGAATCTAGAATAGAAAACTTGATATTGGGTTAGTGCCTCCTCTTAAGGACACCCACAAAACAAGGTCACACATAAGGTCTACACAGAGGCTTATGTTTTCCTGCCCAGCTGCTAACTGCATGGTAAGCAAAGTGTAGCAAACGCCTCCCAAATTTGGCATGTGTTTAGATCTTGTTGATCTGAGTTCCAAGCACAGATTGTTTTCAGGAGTGGAGGAAGTCTGATGACCACATCATTTGCTGCATCCCAGTGTGGGGTGGATGGCTCCCAACCTCCCCTTTGCATTCCCACTCGCACATTCCAGCCCCAGAACTAGTGCATCTCTGAAAGCTGAAACTCAGAAACACATCACCTCTGGGGCT